CCCACCCCCACCCCCACCCTCACCGTCTCTCCTTTTCTCTCTTTCAAACATTTTCACACAAATTAAAACTAAAAAGAGAGAAAAAGCGACAGAAAAATGATTTAAAAATTAAATAAAATCAAGAAAGTGAAATCTCACATGACAACAGACAGAGAAAGAAGAAAAGAAAAGAGAGAAGGGCCATTGTTTTAGACTTTCCTGCGCTGGTGCGTGAGATCTTATCTGCTTCCTTAATTTTTATTTTTATGAAAAATATGTTTTTTGTCTTAAATGCTGGAATCATTGAAACTCTCTTTTTTGCAGCAAACTGCTTCTTCTGCTTCATATATCAGAGAGCTACGGCCATAACCCAACGCATGTAAGGTATCCAATGCTGTCCCACTTTCCTTCTTGATAATAATAATAATAATAATGTATAAATCCCAGTCTTGCCAAAATAATTTATGATGTTTAAGCTCCAACTATCAATATTTCCAGCATAAATGATCCAACACTTTTTTTTTAGTTTTAAAATTGTTTTTCAAAGAATTTAATTTTTTTTTATTTTTTTATTTAAAATTAATATTTTTTTTGTGTTTTTAGATTATTTTGACTCGTTAAATTAAAAAAATATTTAAAAAGCATCAACAATTACATTTCAAACACTAAAAAAAAAATCACATTATGAGTGCTAAATTTTTTTCTAATATCTTTTTATTTAATTAATCTATTTCTCTTCTAAATTATACATATTAATATTGATTTAATAACTTAAATATTATAAATATTTTTTATGTTTTAATATTGTTATTTTAAAATTGTTCTTAAAAACATTTTATTTTTTTTATATTTTATATTTGAAATTAATATTTTTTTTTGTGTTTTTAGATTATTTTGATACATTAATTTTAAAAAATTAAAAAAATATTAATTTAATATATTTATAAATAAAAAATATTTTAAAAATTAACTATAATTGTAATTTCAAACAGTAAGAAAGAAAATCACATTATAAGTGCTAAGAATTTTTTTCTAATATCTTTTTATTTAATTCATCTATTTCTTTTTTAAATTATATATATTAATATTGGCATCACAACTTAAATATTATAATTTGTTTTATAAATATCAATAATTATAATTTTAGTATCATATAAATTAGTATTTTTTTCATTTTAATTTTCTATCAGTATGTATTATCATTATTATTAAATAAAATTTAAGCTAGCAATTTAATTTGATTATTTTTTTAATTTAAATTAAATTTTAAATTAAATTAGTTGAGAAGTAATTCATCATAATAAAGTAACTTGTGATGTAATCAACCCAATTAAAAATCAATTTAAATTCAGCTAGGTTAAAAAAATAAAATAACGCATGACCAAGTTTTAAGCCATGACAAGAGCCGGACTAGATTTGTTTACTTAATGCACGGTACATCACACCACTCGATAACACATAAAATACTTGTTTTTGACATGTGATGTATTGCGTTAATAGAACTTTTTTAATTTTTTTGTATATTTTTTTATTGAACCTTACTTTTTAGATAATGTTAAGTTTATATTTTAAAAAAACTAATTCTTCTAAAAAAATATATTTTTTTAAATCAAAGAAATAGATGAATAATGAAAGACAATTTTTATTGAGCTTTTTATGAATATTTATTAAAAGACTATTCATTTTACATAAAAGATTCATTTTTCGTATTCAAGTAACAAAAAAAATTAATTTTAATGCATTCATGATAAATAATAAAGTTCTGTAAAGGTGATTTGAAACTCTCATCTAACTGAAAAAATATAGAATGAAGCTTAGAAACGTTTTTTTTTGAATTTGTTTTTTTTTTTATTTTTTAATAATTTTAATATATTAATATAATAAATAAATAAAATTATCTATTTTTATTTTAATCTTAAAAGCTATTTTAAAAATTATTACGTGTCTCGGTCTCAATCACCCTCTGCAAAACTTCTTTATTCTACCATTCCCGATAAATCGTGCACAGAAACCAAAACAAAAGATGTTTCCTATCCTTCAATTCTTCTTTAAAGGTACTACACTATAATTTATACTAAGGTTTTTTTTAATTCAGTCAAACACTGCTCCTGCACATACACGGATTGGGGTATTTTTCTTGATTTAATTGTCTCAGGAGCTGTTCTTGCTTGTCATTTCTAGCATCTTTAAAATTTGTAACTGATTTTTGATGGAGGGTAGATACAGCAATGGCGGCGGCGGAGGCGATGACGGCAGTCGCAAGAGAATAACTCTGTTGGATGCAATTGAAAATAGTAGAGATAGAAGGACCCTTGAGACAATATTTAGCATGGAAAAACATCTGGGTCAGGCAAATCGGACACTACTGGATATAATCCGAGATGAAGAGAGCGGGTCGTTATTTGGACACAAAGACAAGAAGAGCTGGAAAGCTTTCAGAGACAAGCTCCGTTTGAAGCGTGCCGGTTCTGCTTGGACATCTTCGGTTCATACTCCAGCTTCGGATATCCCCATCCCAGTGGAAAACAGGTTTCGCAATTCTAATATTAATAACGCTTCCTCCAGGTCTTTGATGACACGCCGTAATTCGGTGCGTTTCACCACCGTCTCGGCTGTTATATCGCCTGAGTTGGAGGAATCGGATGATAACTCGGGGATGAGTCCGAGCTTGAGGCCGCAAATGACTCGCCGGAGCTCAACTCGGTTTGGTTCAGCTATGCTGCAGGTTCAGTCTGAGTCAACTCATTCTGGTGACCCGGATGTGAACATTCACGCTGTGGAAGATGGCCGGCCTTCTCGGGGTTTTAGACCGCAAATCTCGCGGCACAATTCGACTCGGTTCCCGGTTGTCGATTCAACCCAGTCGGATGAGAATGATTTAGATCCGGCGGCACGTGAGGGCACGATACGCCTGGGTACTGCATTGGCAGAGGAGAGACTGTTGTCGGCGAGGGAGGCAGTGGCAGCACAGGAGGCTGCAGAAGCAGCTGCACAGGAGGAAGCTGCAGCTACGGCAGCAGCCGAACAAGAGGCCGAGGAAGGGGCAATGCCCATGCCCGGGAGTACGGAGACGCAGGAGCCGGTGAGGATGTCATTGATGGATTTGTTAGAGGAGACAGATAGGCAGATGGGGTTTGAGGGGTCTAGATATACAATGGGGGATCTTGAGGCATGTGGTGATGATGATGATGAAGATGAGGAGGAGGAGGACGGTGGTGAAGAGGGTGACGGTGTTATTGGTATAGAGTATACTTGCTGCGTGTGCATGGTTAGGCATAAAGGTGCAGCCTTTATTCCTTGTGGGCATACATTTTGCAGGCTGTGTTCAAGAGAGCTTTGGGTTCAAAGGGGTAATTGCCCTCTATGCAACGGTTTCATCTTGGAGATTCTTGATATATTTTGAGGACTCAAGACACATTCATGTAAACATCTTTGCACTTGTCTTGTTGAGTTTGAAAGGGGTAGTGAAATACTATATGATCGGTGCTCTCTCGGGGTTCAACAGAAGATTGGAAAACGAATTGGTGCCAGCTTTGGCATTTTGCCCATTTAAGTGTTTTTATATTTTGCAGAAAATAAAAGAAAGATAGAGAAATACAGTCACAGGTTTATGCTGAATTTTTGTGTAAATGGTACTTGTTAGTGTAATCTCTGTTTAACCATAGACATGCATAACAGGATTGAGCTTTGTTAATCATCACATTCAAGTAATTAAAGAGTCAATGTCCTTCTCCTTCTCCTTGTCCCTTTTTTTTTTTTTTTAAATTTCTTTCAATTTTTCATGTAATTGAAAGAGTTCGAGCATCCATAACATTTCCCAGAACGGAACCACCGCAGACAAGCAAGTGCCGCATCTCATAAAGCTTCAAATTGATGCCATCCAAATGTTTAGATTACTTGTAAACTTCCGATGCTGGGTGTTGGTTTACTTTTTGTAAAATGAGATGAGATGAGATGGTACCTCGAAATGTTTAGATTACTTGTAAACTTCCGATTCTGGGTGTTGGTTTAGTTTTTGTAAAATGAGATGAGATGAGATGAGATGGTACCTCTGTAGAAAGAGCTCAGTCACCAGCAAGAATTACCAGCCCCTATCATATGATTACAACTCTATTTCCATCAATGAGAGCTTCCATCAAGAGTCTTAACTCAAGCGGGGCAGATGCTGCATATGCGACTTCAAGCCTTTAATACATCAGTTAATTCCATCGTCAGGAAGACAAATGTAATGGTTGTAGCCCCATCATTTATTTCAAGCTGACTGGAGTCTACTTGCCTGGCTATTTTCTTTTCATCTTCTTTGCCATCAAGCCAAACGCACACTTGGGAAAAAATAGCAATGTGGAACAGTCACTTATTTTATGTATTTGTTCATGGAATCTTACAACTAGATTTCTGGAATGTGTTCATGATCTCTCACAGTTTCTTGCAGATAAAACACAGTTATAAACTTCAGATCACTAAACAACCCACAGATAAATCCACTTGAGTTGTGGACAGCTTTGGCTTGTTTCATTGCAGCGCAGTGCCATGGCCGTCCTTTGTTTAAGTGAATCTAATGCACCAGAAGAACAGGACTTTGTCCAAAGTCTGTCTATGTGCTCATTCAAAGACGTATGACTATTGGTTTATTCCAATCAAATGACTATTGGTTTGGTATTATAAGCAAAAGATCATAAGATATGATAAATACAATTGATCATGCATTAGATAATGACTCGAAATAGAACCATTCCAAGAATTTAACTACATTAAAATTTTATGTTCATGACATAGGCAGGCGAGCGAAATGGGAGCAGCCTAAACCATAAAAACAGGGTTGTGGGAGAACAATACAGGCCTCGTCGTGCTGCTAGACGATGTAATATGATGAGAATTTAGGCGTTATATACATCGGTACCCAGTATAAATTATCACAGCAAGCCTTTCCTCTTCAATGTGAGCTTACAAGTTACAAGACAACAATAGGTAAGCAATTTACCCCAAGTAATGACTTTTCTAGTATAAATATTTAGTGTTTGTGCGTGAGCAATCACTAAAACAACAAGATGCTTCTTATCCCATGTATCATATTTCTCCAGAAATAATTGTTAGGAAGTCCCTTATTCTTCTTAGTTCATCCCACTATATTGCAGACAGTTTGAAGAAGGTAAAGAAATTGCAATGCTTTCACCAACATTTGAAAGCAGTCAATTTATATCCAAGCTGTTCAAATGGATGCAAACCAACGTTCAGTTTGTTTGTACCGGACAGGGCATTTATCAGGTTGCCTCACTATGTAAATTTGATCCCCAACTGTACTGCGAGAGTCCTGGTTCCGGTGCCATGTCCATAAAGCCCAGGTCTGATTCTTCACCTGCAATTAACATTCAAGTCTGAGACCCTTGTAAAAGATTGCAGTACCGCGTATGTGGTAATGAGATTGGGCAGTAGGATTTCTCAGATTCACTGTGGTCGGTATGTATCCTGTATAAGGGCTATCAAATGGTCTTGGAAGTCATTGGTGCAAGGAGATCATGGCAGGACATGTTTTTTCTGCACATGTTTTTCATCCTTCTCGATGGTATCAGATCTAAAAACTATGGGATTTGAATATCCTGTATAAGGGCTATCAAATGGTCTTGAAAGTCATTGGTACAAGGAGAACATGGCAGGACATGTTTTTTCTGCGCATGTTTGTCATCCTTCTCAATGGGATCAGAGCTAAAAACTATGGGATTTGAACCAACCACATGAAACTTCCTGGAGGAACATCATTTTTTATGCTTTCAGTTTATCAAGAAACTTGCCTGCAGTCACATCTACTAACATTCACATCATTTTTTATGCTTTCAGTTTATCAATAAACTTGCCTGCAGTCACATCTACTTACTAACATTGTTTTGTTATATGTAAGAATTTTTAACGGCATGCCCTTCGGTGGGCTTGAAAATGGAAACTGGCAAGTGACTGCACAATCGTACGGCATATGAATGGATACTTGAAAGAGACATGGTTAAGCAGGGAGAGAGAGGGGTACCTCTAGAATTCCGTGGCCAAAACTACTTTCCCGGAAAGCACTATAATCAGGCTGTCTGTCCCAGCAAAACTGACCGGCTGCCGGGCCAGTTGTAAAGTTTAAGGCACAAAAACCACCAATGTGTTGATCAGGAGTGGTTGCGGGATCTGGACAGTTACCAGGTTCATCAGCATGCCCAACAGCCATCTTTTCTCGGTTGCCTCCATCTCCAACCACAATATGCACAGGACCACATGGATCTAATGTATAATTATAAACTCGATTTGACCTCTCGTAGGCATGAACCTGGTCATGATCAGTGAGCAGATAGAAGTTCAGAAAGGTCAATGACCTTAACATCTTCAAATACAAGACTAGTTTCGAAATCTTATGCAGAGAATCAAGAACAGCATTAAGCAAATTGTTCAAGATATATATAAGGCAAAGGAAAAAGACTCAGAAGTAAAAATGCACTGATTCCAATTTATCCAGCTGAAACTTAAGAATTTTTTCTCATAGCATTTCAAATGAGTCAAATCGATCCGGTTTATATGTTGAATCCTTCATTTTCTTTTGTAGTTCGGGGATAATTCATTTGAAAAACAGAAAAAAAGCAGCCCTCGTCACTTACATGTCCATTGAAGACTATATCAACAGCATATGAGTAAAGCAATTCTTCCATGGCTGCCATCATACACTCTGCCTCTCTGTAATGGGCGTTGTAAGAACTATACCAAGGTGGATGCCATACTGCTACCAGCCATGGAGTAACAAATCGATCAACATTAGCCAAGTCTCTCTCCAGCCACCTGTACTGATCAGCTGTAAGAAGAAACCAAACCATACAGATAAAATAACAAGACGAACACTTTAAACTAAGATACCAAAACCATGCAGTTTGTTCAATTACTTGTACAAATCGAAACTCGACATTTTCCAAGTGTGTTTCTCAATGACTTGAGTTGCAGAAGCAGAACACCAGATAACTAAATCATCATAGTATCGAGTATAAAAGAAAATCCACAATACTTACATGATTTATGATAAGCAATGTATGCTCCAAGCATGACAAAATGTATGCCTCCTGCATTGAAGGAGTAGTAGAATGTAGATGAAGATCCACTTTCTTTAGCTGGGAAGGCAAAACGAGAACTGTAAGCCACAAATGTTTGGTTCCCAACTTGTTTTTCTATTTCATGGTTTCCTTCCACCACCATTAAGGGAACCTTAGAAACTAAAGGCTGCATGAACCTGTAAAAATTTACAAATTAAAACATTAACAATACAAACCCCACTAGCAGATTGCGATAAAAATGAAATCAAACTACATGCATACCTTCCCCAGTAATCCCAACGAGGCTGGTAAGTCTCGTGGATGGGGGAGTTAGGAAAGGAGCAAGAATAGCAGTCACAGCCAGTTCCATTTGTAAGATACAAGTTTGCATAAGTTACATCCCCAACCAATAAAGCAAGTTGAGGTTTATTACTAATAACATGACTGATTGTGGTACTTGTGTTGTATGTAAGACCAAGATCCCCCATGACAGCTATTCTCTTCGGATAGCTCTTTGGACTCGAAATTGGCATGGTCTTGAAACTATAAACATCACTCAATGCACCTATTGAAGGATCTCCACATCGATAATAGTATAATTTGTCAGGTTTTAACCCTGTAAACACCAACAAAAAAAGACGCCAAGAAATTAAACAAGAATTTACACCATGTTTCGCCAATGGAATAGCAGATAATATATCTACCTGTGAGGCGAGCATGATGGATGATGCCAGAAGTGTAGTTCTGAAGACCTTCAAAAGGATAAAGCTGACTGTAAACAAGGGAATAGCCCTTTGCTTCGTGATTTAATGGATTCCTCAACGTCCCATATCGAACAACGCTCGCAACACTTTCCGGGTCTAATGGTGTTATGTTCTTATTATGGTTACTCATTTGAAATTCTCCTGTAAAAAACATGGATAAAAACACCTGATCGCTGCGTCAAACGGTTCCTAAATGATAGTATCAATAACAAATTAAAGAAATTAAGACAGACAGGAATATTTCATAATTCATCATTACCTGTGATCCATGAAATCCAAACAGAGTCATAAGTGGCAGAGAGAGACACAGAAATTTGCTCGGGCTGGAAACCTTTGACCCGGCGGCGAACTCGGGGATCGTCGTCGGTCAAATCTACAGCGTTGCCACGCAAACTGACGTCAAAAGGGACGGTACGGGGCTCAAATGGGCCATCCAAAGTTGACGGAATGACATTACTCCTAATCTTGTTGCCATAAACAACAAAAGATACAAAAGAACAATAAGATATTAACACCACCACTTGTAAACCGAAATTAAAGAATCCCATGATTACTAGTCATCAGAAATCTGATCCATCGCAACCAGGTTTAAAAGCTTAAGATGGAGATGGAGAGGAAGAGTGATAGAGAACAATCAGTAAAGGTTAGCTTAGAAAAAGTGAAGTTGCAGGGAGGGAAGATTCAGACAATCTGGTGTTTATGAGGGTGATCGTCCTTTTTTCTTTGTTTTCAGACAGTTAGAAAGCCGTTATGCAGAGGAAAGACATGTTGCCAGTCCTGGGCGTGTGGCTTGTCTGGATTGTGAGTGAATGAATGATTAACCTTTTTGGCAGGGCATGAGCATTACATACAGTCTCTGTTTCGAAGCTCGAATGATGCCATGCCAGGTGTGACGTCATCTATAATCCAGGTTTCTAGCCTACCTTTGCTATCACGAGAGCATCTTTTACGTAATATTCTCGTCATTCCATCCTATCCCCTTCCATATCTATCGTCAACAAAACCTACCTCGAAAAATTGGGATTATTATCGATCACAATTTAATTATGGTTTTTAAACTCAATTTAAATATTAAAAAATATTATAACATACAAAACTTGAATTTTAAGTTATAATATTTAATCTAAAAAAATATATTTTTA